AAAACTTATTTGCAATATTAAACAAAATTTACCTGCATAATTATCACTGCTTCCTTATTATTAATCTAGCAAAGAGCTTAACCTTTGGGAGTTTACAGAGAAATATCAACAAGTGTGCTTTATGCAATCTCATTCCATGGCCTATTAATTAGGCAAATGACTTTATAATTCTGAACTTAGCCTAGTGATACCCAAGGGAAATTTACAGACTGACCCTCTCAAAGGTCTTCAGGCCCATAAGTCACACCTTAAGAAAAGCACAAAACAATAATGCACAAAATAGGAGACTACCAATTCTGATGCAATAATACATTATGTTTAACTGCACAGTCAACATCAAATTTTAATTATGCACAACAGGTAACACTGACGAAAGTAAAAGCATAAGTCTTCAGACCCATCAGAGTTCAAGTTTATGCTTAGAAAGTGCCAGAATGAGAAAAATGAAAATTTCACAAAAATGCATAAATTTAATAAAAATGATAATCCAATAGAGCTGTTTTTCTAATATGAGCTGTATGTCAATCCTAAGAATCATTCTTGTAAGACTAGTTGAAAAAAATAGAAAGTAACAGTTTTCTTTCCATAACGTTAATGGTGGCAGTGCACAAAGTAGGTTTTTTGTCAATTTTGATGCAACACTTCATAATGATTAACTGTATAAATACCACCAATTTTTAAATATCTACTATTAAAAACATGGACATTAAGAAAATTTGATTACCACTGGGCTTCATGCCCAAGGGGGCTCTAAGTCCCACATTGAAAATTCCAGTATGTGAAAGATAAAAATTTTCACAAAAAAACTCTATAACTTCCAGAAAATTAACTAATGAGACAGATTTTCCAACTGAAGCTGTATTTCAGTCCTATGTTTCTTTCCTTTAAGTATGAGAAGAGCAAGTGACATGGTTTTCCTTTCATGGTCACTACGGAGGCAGTGCCCAAAATAGGGTTTTGTTCAATTTTGATTCAATATTACAGCATCATAACCATCAGTTTTTAATGATAAAATAAAACTATCATGGATATTCAGAAAACGTGACTAGCCCATAGAGTTCAGAGTCACAATTTGAAAATCCCAAAATCTAAACAAGAGAAAACTGTATTGAAAAGAGTTTATTTCCATTTTCAACACCTTTTTTACATAAAACAAAATAATCGATTTACTGTCATTTTTATATGATCAATTAAAAAATATGTTGTCAAAGGAAAAATATCAATAGAACAAATTTAAATGTCCAACTTGCTCCATTCTGAGATTCTTAACTTAGTGAATGATTGAATCTGACGAACTGCAATGATATGAGTTCCTTTCCATTTTTGATACTTTATTACACAATGCACAATAAAAGGCGTACCATCATTTTTATATAATCAACTGACAATATTGTTAAGAAGCAGAAAATCAACACTTTTACATATCTAATTAGTTCCACAATGAGACTGTTAACATGCCTAAAAATTAAATCTGAAGAAAAACCACTCATTTACAAAAAGGCTAATAACTTCATCAAAACTTAACTGATCCAGCTTATTTTCAAACTTGACCTGTATACTAGTCAGACTGATCACTCCTGTGAGTTTCAATACAAAAGGCTGATTGGTTTTCCTTAAAATGCGTTATCAGTGTTGCATATATGCTGAATAATGGAAAAAAACAGCATAACTTTTGTAAAAATTGCCCGATCATGCTGATTTTCAAACTTGACCAGCGTATTATGAATATTCATCAGTTCTGTAAATTTCAAGCCAAAAGGTAAAATGGTTTTCCACTTATCATGTTATCGGTGCTGCATATATGCTGAAAAAAACTGNATAATGTACAAAATAAAACAGGAGACTGCCAATTCTGATGCAATAATACATTATGTTTTACTGCACAGTCAAAATCAAATTTTAATTATGCACAACGTACAGGTAACACTGATGAAAGTAAAAGCAGGCTCCAGGCCTGTGTCTGTACATAAAAACAGCATAACTTCCCTAAAAATGGCCCGATCATGCTGATTTTCAAACTTGACCTGTGTATTACGAATATTCATCAGTTTTGTAAGTTTCAAGCCAAAAAGTAATATGGTTTTCCACCTATCATGTTATCGGTGCTGCATATTTGCTGAAAAAAGTGAAAAAACAGCATAACTTCCCTAAAAATGACCCGATCATGCTGATTTTCGAACTTGACCTGCGTATTATGAATATTCAAAAATTCTGTAAATTTCAAGCCAATAGGTGAAATTGTATTCCACTAATCATGTTATTGGTGCTACATAAATGCTGAAAAAAGTGAAAAAACAGCATAACTTCCCTAAAAATGGCCCGATCAAGCCGATTTTCTAACTTGACCTGCATATTATGAATATTCATCAGTTCTGTAAGTTTCAAGCCAAAAGAAAAAACAGTTTTCCACTAATCGTGTTATCGGTAAAAGTGCATGGTGACGACGGCGACGACAGACGCAAGTGATGGCTATATGTACAGACACATCTGTGTCTGTACATAAAAAATGTATCATGTGGGTAATTTTCTAAGTTACTTATCCTGTTTTAATAACAAAATTTCCAACTACAATCTCATGGCTGCTAGCTTCTTAATTTTCAAATTACATCCATAAGACCTCAAAAAGCTGGCCTGTAATGACTACAGACCAATAATTAATTGCAATCTAGAGATTCTGAGAAATATGTTCATCAAGAAAAAAATACAATTTTAATTGTTATTTATAAGTATAAAATCATACAGTCAAAAGTGTTCACCTTTTAATCAGAAATTTTTATAATAACATGTGTGTGCTTATATTTAGTTGAATCTTAACATACCTATTGTGAAATAATCACTGGGCAGGTTATTGTAGAAAGAATAATAAACAGGAAAAATGTCAGTTGAAAATGGCTCCAAAAAAATCTTCTCTGGATTCTGGTCCATTACTATAAGAATAAACAAGAACAAAAAACCCAAAATTATTTTTCAAAGAAAAGAAGGTATTGCTTACACTGCTTTTAACATGAAATGATATTTCATTTTGCAGCTTACATATTAAAATATATTACATTATATATATCTTACTCTTTTTTCCATAGTAAAAACAATCACACCCAGACAAAAAACCTTGTTACACTCTGAGTTCCACATCAATTTTTCTAACACTCCAATTTACCTCCACATGATGGAACAGTACGCAACATATCATATAAAATCATTTTACCTGACTTGAAAACATAAAAATCAGTATTTCTTTCTGCTATCTCTGCCAGGATGTAGGTCTCAGAGGTTTTACTCTTAATCTCCACCAGCATGTCAGTGACAGGCTTTCTAGGAGGGGGTAATCCTATCTCCTGGAAAAAGTTTAAGTTATAGATAATAATAATAATAATAATAATAATAATAATAATAATAATAATAATAATGGGGCAATAGCTCAAAACTTATTTTTTGTTCTTTATTTTCATTCTTTATTTTCAGTGTGTTATTTTCCCTTTCCTTATTTCCAATCCATACTTTCTTTCTTTATATGGACATATTATTCATTGACCAATAATCTTGACCTGTGAGTTTCCTTTGTTTATTTTCTTCACTTTCTTTACTTTGTTATGTCAACATGTCACATACATTTGCAGGTAAAATCATTTTCTTCTTATCTTTTTATTAAGTTTTGTTTTAGTTGTATGTTATTTTGCTTAACTCTATTTGGTTAATTATTTAATATATACTTACATGTATAATTTGTATTTAATTATGTTTTATTTTCAAAGATTTTCAAATAAACACCTCCTGACGATCGGGCATACCTGAAACTCAGAGTTGGGGTTGATACATGTCTCGTGTTTTTTTTTTTTTGTTTATTTAATATTAATTTCAATTGTGCATTAATGCTCCAGACAGTTGAGCACTCTGTACCACACGCACATATATATATACCTGTAGTCCTGGTGCATGGAGGAAAATATAGCTTCGTATAGCCCGAAGAGTCACCATGCCACACAAAATCTGAAGTTGAGTCTTTTTGGTGAAAATAATTTCACCATTTTTGTAAAGATCAATCCTCACTTTGCCCTTGTCCTGAAAGTAAAATAAATTGTTGTCTATGAAATGTTAACCATAATAAAAAAAGGATTAAAAATAGTGCATTCCACATTAAAAAATATTATCTAGCAAAATTAAATCAAACTGAGTATTCTATGATTCCTGAGGTGCCAGTTAAATCACAGTGAGCTACGTGGAAAAGTAAAAGTACTTTTTCTAAGTCAAGTACAATCCTGAAGTTTGTAAGTATCTTTTGTGATCTTTAATTAAAATTTTTGAAAAGATATGAAAATTTTCCTTAGGTAACAATTAGTTCTGTAGTATATACATTGTTTTTTAGACCAAAAGATATAATATAATTCAATTAATCAAATACTCACATTTTTTTTAATAGAAAGTAGCAAAATATTTTAATAACCAAATATTCTAGTCTCTCTTCTCAATATGCAAAAATATTATTATCAGTTCATTTCATTTACACAGTGAAATGTACATTTGTGCTTGTTCATTCTGCATTTTTGGAGCCTGATAAAAAACATGTATTATGCAGGCCTTATTGACCATAAAAGAACTGAACAAAATTACTGACTTATTTCATTTCTTTGGACTTACCAAAGCTTTGCAGCTACCATCTGTATCAAACCTCATATGAAACCGTATGGTACTTGTCTCTGAGACGATCCACTTGTCATCTTTGTGTTCTATCACATTATTTTCATCTCCGTAGTCAGCTATCACTCCAGATTTTAAGTTATATTGCAAAAATGGCTTTCCATGAGCTCTGTAATGTAATGCATAATTATTCAATTATGGCTGACCATGAAACTGACTCAAACTCAAAAGAAGACAGTGAAAATGTTGTTCACGCCATTTCTTTTGAATAAATAAATAAATAAAAAAATAAATAAAGATTTCAAACATTAAGACTTTTAAGCGCAGTCAATTTATTTAAAAAGTTGCATATATACATATATGATAAACGATAAATCTCCCTGAACTGTCCTAGAAGCTCAACACAGAACAAGCAATTTGCTTACCTGACAATCTCTGTAGTGACAGCATTTTTTTCTGGCACAACCATCACCTCAAAGTAAGGAAAATGGATTGGGTCCAATGATGCCCACTTGCTTGAAAGGCTCAATGGTGCTTTACCTCCATTGTCAATGTGAGAACCTCGGACAACTGAGTACCGGTCACTATTATACATCTGAACTGCACCAAAAGGTTTGGAGGGTCCCAGACCTGGTGACATTGTCCTCTTGACCTTCTGCTCAGTAAAGAATATAAGAATGTATTAAAATGTGTAAGTGCTTGTGTGAACATAATATGCAATCACACAAACACACACACACACACACACACACACAGAGAGAGAGAGAGAGAGAAAGAGGGAAGGAGGGAGGGGAAGGGAGGACTGGGAGAACTGCCTACATAGGCACATAATTTCATACTTATGTTGAGAAACTTTGTACACCAACTGAGAGAAAGAGAGAAAACAAAGAGAGAGAGAGAGTACCACCTACTACACGTAGTACATATGTGTAGACACTTGCTTTCATACTTACGTTGAGAAACTTTGTACACCTACTGCACACCCCACAGTGATGACACAGAAGAGCCTTGTTCTTGCAACCACAGTGTCTACAAAAGAAAAAATATTAAAATTATGAGCTAGCTCTCTTGATTTAAAGCTTTAAAGAAGCAATACTCATAAAAGACAGGTTCAATGTGAAAAGCTTTTACAGCCAGTCAAAATGTAAAATGTGAGAAGTGATACCCCTATGAAAGCCACTGGATGAAATCTATCAGGACCATTTAAACTGTAATCAGATATGCCAGCTCCATATTTTATTACATAATCAATTTGAAGAGCAACATTTATTTTTGTTATTGGTGTACCTTTGATATGTTTATTATTTTTTATATTTTTCATGATCAAGCAAATATCTATGCATCACACAGGCAGGTACCTTGATGTTTCTCCATCTGTTCCATTAAAAGGGCAGTCCATCCCCTCATATGCACAGTGATTGCACAGAAAGCACTTGTTATAGTCCACCTTAGGGTTGACATCAAATTGTATCTGCTCTATAGTATGGACAGGAGCCAAGCCATGATTTTTTGTTAAATTCCCTTGAAGAATTGAGAATGATGTTCATTCATTACTGCCACCTCATTGGAAATGATGCGAAGGAAAACTTGTTTAGAAGTGACAAAGTGATTTCACAACTCATTAATTAATGACACCACAATGCAATGACATCACATATTTTCAATGACATCACAACTTTTCCATGACACCATAATAAATTCATGCATGACATCACAATGTACTACTGGAATTTCAATCAATGCAATGACACCATATATATGGCATCACATGTAAAGGAGATCGATTTCAAATTTATTATTTTGTTTACAGAATTCTTGACATACCTAGATTATATTTAATCAAATCAAATGATTTAAGTGAAGCAAATCTAATTACTTGGCCCCAAAACATGGTCCAGGCTTATCTCTTTTTTGCAGTCTGCACACTTAGCAGTTGGTTCCCCCTGATTCAAGCTGTCTTTGGTTGCAACCATGTGGTGACGATAGAACTTGGTCCTATTGCAGGTGTCCTCTACCTTCCAATGAGGACATGGAGTGAAGATCTGAAAACAGAAGTATGATGAAAGCCACCCAAATTTTCTTTATGTCTCCTCCATCTCTTGTATGAATGAATTAACAAAATAACTAGACGAACATAAAACATAGGTTTAGTTGATATTGGTCTGTAAAGGCCATTATAATTAATGCCAATCCCAAGTGAGAGTTATATAGAAATTAACTGTGACTAACTGGGCTTGAAAAAAATGTAAATCTACATATGATCTAAAAGGTACTGACATATGACATGACAAAAATTTTATGATAATCAATTTTAAAAATATGAAGGAATTTTGTGGTGTTGCAGAGAGGCCATTATTTTTTAGTAGAATTTTTCAGTAGAAATCTGAAGAACTGTGAATAGCAATATGTATTTATCTCCTTCCAGTGTGGCTACACAGGATGGACATCAATGAGTACTGTCAATAAAAGTTAATCAAAATATCCTAAAAGTATTATTAGAAACATGTTCTGTCTCATATTTCCTTTTCCTGCTACAATTGAAAATATTTGGGTTGAACTCTTAAAAAAGTGACACCAAAATTTAGTCACTTTTTTTACAGAAAACTGTGTTAAATTTATGATTCACTCTCAGACAACAATGGTAGTTGAACAGAAATGCAACATTTCAGTGATAGTTATATCAGATCACTAGTTCAAAGCTTATAATAATGATTTTAAGATTTAAATTGTAAGATAAAACATCGATAAATAATACCTGAGTACAAATCATGTACTTCTGCGCAGTATACCCCGTGATGTGCAAATAATTCATCAGAACTGACCACAGACACTTCATGATGCTATCTTGGCTCGACTTTCTCTCCAACACATATGTGGTACGTACTGCTAAGTATACGACAGTGGCGCCCTCAGGGAATCTCTTGACTGAATTTGAAAGCAGTAATAAAAGATTTATGGCAATGATTCTAGCTTGTATTGAGTTTCTGTGCATGAACACACTTGAACATGGTTGTCATATGGGGAAAACCCATTATTAAAGAAGATATTATCAAATGGAATAATTCATCCTAGGCTGTTTTTCTATGGCAATTGAAGTTAACTAAACAAATCACAAATGATAAATGGATGTATTAGCCACACAGTGTGTCATTTTGCAGAGCCATCAAATTCCATAATGATTCGATCAAAGTGCTTATGATTGGCACAATTAATTTTAACATGACAGTTAAAAAAAAAAAGTAGAGGGGCAACGACTGAGATCAAAACCCAATGTCTAGAGACCATCTTTACCAAGTTTTCCTCAGTTACAAAACAATGACATACAAAATAACATTGAAAATCATATGGTGTAATACTGAACAGATAAATATTTATCATGACACCATACAAATTTACAATATGCCACAGCTGTGAAGCGCCAACTGACAAGAACATACTTTGTTTGGGTGGACGTGGTGGAGGCAGTGGCCGAGAACCTGATGCTTTGTAAGATCTTGGCGGTAGTGGTGGTGGTGGTGGTGGAGGCGGTGGTGGAATAGATACTGATGCCTCTTGGTCATTTTCTGATTTCTTTTCGGGAGTTTCCTCTATAGCCTCAGGTGGTGATGGTCCAGAGTTTTCTTCATTAATTTTCACTCCAATCAAAGGAGGTGGTTCTTTGTTCTCATCTTTGTCAGTAGATTTATCACAAACTGGTTAAAAAAAAAAAAAAGTCCATTACACAGGGAGATCCATGATTGTGCTCAGGAGTGTTAGGTAGGGATAAAATCTTTTGCTAAAAGAGTGAAGACAATATAAAATGAAAATCCGAAAAAATAAAATTTTTTGTTCTAGCAACATTGACAGCACATACCTGGTCAACTCTCACACCATACTACAGATGGCAGCACAAATATGGTTAATTCTAAAACAATACAGCAGATGGCAGCACATACCTGGTTCATATTTTGGGATCACTATCTTCTCAAGCAGCACTGAAATTGCGCCATGCTGTGCCAGGAGGCCATTCTTCCAGATCAGCAGAGAAGGTGCTATTTTGGTACAATTTCTAACAAACAAAAGGTTAAGAATTCATAATTATTAAATATTTACAATGGCACACATATATTTTGATATTTTGCACAAAATAATAGAGATTTGGTAAAGGGGGGGGGGGCATTACATTAACCATCAAATTGCTTCCGTTTAAATATTTATAACAAAACATGAGGATCTTACCAATTATAAAATATCCATTTGACAAAATAATTCTGCAGTAATAATAATAAAAAATGATAATAAATAAATAAATAAATAAATAAATAAATAAATAAATAAATAAATAAATAAATAAATAAATAAATAAAGATACCTCAGCAGAAGAGAGAACCATCCTGGAGGTAACTCAGGCACTGGCAGGAAACACTTTGATAGTTGTACTTCATTGGAAGCAGGGGCATTTGACCAGTATGAGTCCTAGAAATAAAATGTTTAAAAGAAATAAAATGTCATGAATATATATAATTGGTTCTGTTAAATTTACAAGACTCGCATGACAAAAAAGTCATTTGAAATAAAACAAAAATAAACCCATGATGAGATGCCTGCAACTTGTTAGGAATCTTACAAATTAAATGAACTTTTATGAAAAATCCTTTAAAATGAGTCTTACGATCAAAATATAAACAACCTTAACACTAATTATATCCACACATGATATCATGACCAATGCTTGTTTACCATAAGAACTTTTTATTTGTACATGTATTATTGATTACAAAGGAACATATCTACTACACTAAATTCATATAATATAATCATCACTTCAAAAAATATAATTGATACAATTTGTGGCGAATCTTTATTTTTCATTAGTCTTCTTTAGCAGTTTTTTTTTGTGAATTTTCAAACTTATGATCATCATGTTTTGAGTTATGTTATAGAATATACTGACAAGTCAAAGTCAATTAATTTACTAAAGTTGTATTGAAATGAAAAAAAAGAAATACAAATAATTTAGCAGAGAACAAACCATTGGGAAATCTGGTTCTTCTGGGAGGTTAAAGGTCAGCAGGAACTCTTTTGTTTGTCGAATTATTATTCCAAACTTCTCCAATATGGTGTACAGAGTATCAATCTGAGTATGATAGAAATATAAGAATTAAAAAGAAAAATGAACTGCCAGCTTGCATGCTTTTATTACACAACAGCTGGCAATACAAATTAATGCAAATAAAAACACTCATAATTGTGAAAATATCTCAATGCTTTTTGTAGATTAGAAACTAGAAACTATCAAAATCTTATGAAAAATCTAAACATTACACACTCAAATCTATTAGTTCACGTATATAAATGCTTGTGATAAACAGTGCTTCAATTTATAAAGTGACAAGTTATACTGAGTGCGCAACACTTGTCCTCTGATATGTCTACAGTGACTGTTCTTGTGTAATTTGTCCTGTATTATTTACTGTACATACCCCGTCCCCAGGCTGCTTGTTTTGAGGCACTGGGATGCTGACTTCCTGTATTGATATCATTCTGTTGAGTTCAGTTTGAAGCCAGGAAAAGTCTGTGATGACTGGTTGATTTTTTATATTTGGGAAGAACAGACACATTCCCTGATAAATAAAATAGCTGAATTTAGGTAAAACATTGATTGATGGATTGATTTCAATATTCAAATATACATGAATATTATCACTTAACTGAATAGAAATTATGAAAAGTTACAACAGATAAGAATATAAGTCAGGTGCCCTAAGTAGATGAAATCCCCATTAAGTTAAAAAATACAATATATATTCTTGCTATTTAATAAATGAAAATTCAGTTTAAAACATTTTAAATGTGGAAATAATTTGAAATGCAATCATCCTATTTGCTAATTTCTCAAGGTTACAATCAACTATTGATTTATTAATAAGTGCAACATTTCAAATGCTTACACACCTTACACTACCTACACATTTTAAGATAAAATAGGACAATACTCAATAAAAACGGTTTTATTATATTTTCAAAACTCTTCTTTCCAAAACAAATTTTTAAGCATTTAGCTACACAAAATTTACTTTTAGTTTGATTTTAACTACACAAGTATTTTTTTACCTGTCTGTGCATCCTTTCCACAACCTTCTGATAGTAAAAATATGCTGGTCCAATGGCTTTGTTGGTCTCCTCCAGCATCTTTTCTTCTACTGACTTTGATTCAGAGCTCAGAAGTGATTGGTCTCCATTAGAAACCAAAAGCTTGCAACCCTCTATGTCTTTCACCAATTCCTATTAAATAAATAAATAAATAAATAAATAAATAAATAAATAAAATTTTACTATGATTATCTTCAACCAGCACACAGGTCTTAGAATCTGTTATGTACTTGGAGTTTTGATAACATTTCAATGGTGGATCCAGAACTTTGCTGAGGGAAAGCACTTAATTTACTATTATTTGACCTCACTTCCTCCATCAAATATTAAATAAAGGATGTGGACAATTTCACTAAAATATGAAGGGCACAAAAGTTTGGTTTTCACTTGTAATACTGTTTTACTGTTTCTTTATAAGGGGCGGGGGGAGGGTGGGACAAAGGGAGCAAACAGCACAAGCAGCACATTTTAAAATATCTATTTAATTATTTTAAAATAATTAAAATATGCAGGCAAACAGGAATACGAATTCTTTGTTTAAAGCTCAATAGGTGATTAGTGAGAAAAATCTATAATGATGTGAACTTTAATCACCCTGAGTTTCAAATGTCACTGGAAACTCTCTGATCTAGTCTTCTTCAATTGAGCACACAGTACCTCTGCCATTTCTAGGCATGCTTAAAATAGTTAAAAAGTGATTCTCTGGTGTATGAAACTCAGGGTCATATCAATAGAATAAGTCATCAAAGTCAACTATGTTTCTATTTGTTCAAACAAAAGTCGGGGGAGTTTGCTAACAAAAGTGATTACAATTTTACCTGAAATACAGTGGTATATCATGCAAAATATATTCCAAGTAAAAAAAATTAATTAAAACTAGCTTAACTTTTGAATATTTTGAGAAACTCACAAACGTATAAGTATTTTGGTAGTTTCCAAAAAAAACATTTCTGCGCATCAAAGATATACATGTACTATGTTGATTATTTTCATTTGTTAGCATTGTTCTAGTGAAATGGCATGTTATTCAGACAATCCCTTTACCTTGTAGAGATCTGGGAATGATATGACTGCTTGTTTCTTTCCTAAGCGCTGAACGGCTTTCATCACCTCGATCATTTCTGGAGAGCTTAGCCACTGGTCACTCTTGGCCATCTGTTTTAAGTGGTCATCTTGGGGGTCTTTTTCTTGGGGGTCTCTTTCATTCCAAACCATTTCATTCTTCAGGGTCTCCCAGAATTTTTTAATACTTTCCTGATAAAATGAAGAATAAGACTTCGTGCCATAATTTACAATTTTGAGATATGACTGAGTATCATTTTACTGTAAACCCAGTCAGATTGCTATTCAATATAAAAATACACACATTTTGATTAGCAGAATGGCAATGGCAACCCAACAGACAAACTAGTGGATGGTTATACAGAAGAACAGGCTGAGAGAATTTTCTTTCATAGCTCAATCATATAAATACATGTAATATGTAATATAGCCATGGCGAGGTACATGCAAAAGCAAAATCAATGTAAAGAAAGATTGCTTCCCCTTTTCCCCCTAAAACTCAGAAAAGAATGCACCATACTGTTCTCTTTACCTTGTCATCTAGACTTGTCTTCAACAAAACTGGGTTGTGCATTGAAGCTCTGGAGTTGACAAAACTGGAATACTTTTGCTGCCCTGAAAATTTAAGATCTTTTGATAGTTTAAAGGACCTGAAATAAGAAAAATAGGAATTATTTTCATAGAGGAAAAATACAAAATGCATCTCCTGGGTTATGCCCCTATTTCACACAGACCACGAATCCCACGAATGGCGATGAATTGACAAATTTCACGATTCGTGGTTGAATCCTAATCAGTTCATGAAGTTCTTAACAGATTCGTATATGTTCGTAGTCAGTTCTTGCACTTCTTGACCAACAGGAATGGGTGGCAAAAACTTTGATGCCACTATTTCACACAGACCACGAATCCCACGAATCGCCAGGAATTGAAAATTTGGTTGAATCGTAATCAGTTCGTGAAGTTCTTAACAGTTTCGTATATAATCGTAGTAAGTTCTTGCAATTCTTGATCAATCGGGAATTCGTGGCAAAAAATTTGAGCTGTTCATAGTTTTGGCCACGAACTCCCGATTCCAAAAAATCGTAGTGAATTTCTAGACAATATTCGTGCGATTCCAGCCGAATCCCATGAATATTCGTAACACTATTGCACCTGTATCATAACTGAATCGTAGAGCTTGTCGAATTAGACCAGAAAATTGGCAAAATCTCACGATTCCAGCCGAATCCCACGAATATTTGTAACACTATCGTACCTGTATCGTAAGTGAATCGTGAGCGTGTCAAATAAGACCAGAAAATTGGCAAAATCTCACAAATCCTCACGAATCCTAAAATTTGTCAATTCCTGGCGATTCATGGGATTCGTGGTCTGTGTGAAATAGGGGCCTTAGTTTAAAGAGGAAGACAGCTGCTCTTAGTAATTCCTATTAAATTTATATAATACAACATACAGTTTTCAAAAATGAACAAGAGCGAGGATTGTGGAGTGCTTCTTCAGCCAGTATCATTGGAATCATCATAAAAAAAATATTTTGCAACCTATACACATACCTTTACTTAAAAACAGGCATTATTCATAGAAACTAACATGCAAAATCAGATGTATCTTAAGAGAATTAACAATCTGGATAAACGTAAAGCACACTTTTTCAGTCCTTGAAATTAAAACTTACGGGTCATACAGGATTTTCTCCAAAAGAACACTATCTCGTCTTTCTTGCAAACTGTCTTCCAACTCCTTCTCACTTAAATCAATGTCTGTTTTTGCATCTTTCCCATCTTCACCCATTTCAGTCATCTTTACAAATATTACTCTATATGGTCTATCCTGTGAAAGGAAGCATCCATACTAGACTTAGACCCTGTTCCCATACCTAGATCGATCTAGCAGGATCGTCCCATTTTGAGGGGTTTCTCACTAAATTACATTCAGCTCTGATGTCTGGCACGCCTACTGAAGCTGTTAGGGGGTAATTAACTATCATTTGGCAGCTGCAGTAGGTGCGCCAGACATCTAAATCACTTTTAAGTGAAAAGCCGAATGCAACTTAGTCAGAAACCCCACATAGATGGGTCAATCCTACTAGATCAATCTAGGTATGGGAACGGAGTCTTAGATATCATATATCCTAGTAGAGTAAATAAGAAGTAGACCTCTAAGGAGCTGGATTGGGAATTTTTACATTTAGAACTGAAAAAAAATCCAGGAGCTAAGGATCACTTGCTGCATGGACAAAGTATAGTGGACAAGTAAAAAATTTTCTGAACTTTAACTTTAATTTTGTCTACTTTGACTAAAAATAAATCAGTAGTAGTAATATAGTATACATGTACTTCAATGAAACATTGCACCTGTTTTATTTAAGAGAGAACAGACACAATGCACTTTGTTTTAGTTTACTATGGTGAACTTTTTTTAGGTTGATATACACCAACATTTTCTGACTGACTTACCTTCTGATGCATCAAACGATCATGTTGTACACAAATCCAAAACTTCAGCCGATCTTTTGAAGTAAATTTTGAAGCAAGGAAAGGAACTACCACCAAACAATCCTCTGACACAAATAAACTGGACAGATCCTAGAAATAGAATTCGAAATGATATTTAGTATCAGCCTATGCACTTACTTTGTGTGAAATAATTTGTTGTAAAATGAAAATCCACAATACAAACATTACTGTGCAGTGTTAACTTTTTTCACACTGGCAGATAAAAATATAGTTTGATGGGTAGAATGAACGCCCAACAGACCAAAGAGGTATATAGAAAATAATGTCTCTCTGTATACCTCCTTGAACAGACAAACTACCATCTATGAATACAGGCAGACAGAGCTTACCTTTTCAGGACCACTGAGTTCCACCATGTTATAAAACACATGATCATGAGGAGGCAAATCAACATCAACTTTCCACGCTTCAGTAAAGCTGACTCTGTTTTGGCACTCTTTTCTCTGCCCAGTCATCAGCCAGTGGCTGAAACTGTATGGAGCTTGACTGTTCAAGATCACCAGTTTCTCTGTAATTATGTGGCTTTGGGACAGAATATGCACCTCTTCTGCAATAAAACAAAGTCAAAAAATAAGCAGTGATATCCAAAATAGAATATTACCTCTTTCATTGGTGGTACAGCAGGAATTCATCCATTATAAAGAGAGAGGTTCTCCATTACTACAGTATTTGCTTCCTATCATACAATCATTCTTGATTATTTTACATTGATATAAGCCAAGGAATCATTATTTAACATTGATATAAGCCAAGAAATCATGTAGAGTGCATAATTTTACCCACATAAATAGGGTGCTGGAAGAAAAAACAAAAGGATTTTTTTACAAGAGGTACTGCTGGAGTGGAGACAAAAACAAACTGGATTAAGGACCTTATTTTTTCAAAGCTTTCAACACAACCAAGGCATAATTCCTCATTTCATTGCTCACCCATCAAACCTCTTACACAGCTTACCTCTATCGAAACCAGCGATCCATTTTTGAAGCTTTGTCATATGTTGTTTGCTTGGAAATGGTGTGTGTATTGGGCAGCCATCTAAATCAACACACACACCCTCCAACAAACCCATGTGGCTAGGCCCTTTATCATTTGACCGCCTCTCTTTGTGAAGAAAAGGGACAAAAGTGACCATTGTCCCCCGCATGGAAATTTTTTTCACTCCAAGTCTGAGCAGGGACCAGAGAGATTTTTCTGTCAGAAGAGGGCAGCCATCTAATATGACCTGTAATGTTTATTGAAAAATAATAAGTCTACATTGAAGGAAGAATTTAAAATAGTTTTGAAGAAAAAAAAGAAAAACAAATATAACATCTTTTTTCTTTAATAAGCTTAGCAAAAGGCTCAAATTTGCCTATATTATGTACCAATTGGTTTAAAAATCAAATTAAAAATTCACCAGCCAGGTCCGATAAAAACTTGTCTGCAACCATCAAAAAAAATTATGATAACTATTTCAAATCACCAAAACATTTGATCTTACTTCAGTCTGTAATCTAATGCAGATTGAAAATGATATAGTCAATATCCATAAATAAAACATTTCAAAAGTAAGAGAAATGTTTTTTTCAATACAGAAATGAGGATTGAGATTTAAAAAAATATGAAAAACTGACCTCTTCCAATGACTTAAACACCTTACACATCCACTGTACACCATAATCTGTCAGGTATCTGCAACCTAAAAACACAAAAACAAAATAATATCAAGGTCTAGATGCCTCTTTACATCGTGTGTTCTATTTGACTCACTGTTTCAACTTAAGCATTCAGATTTGAGAGACCATGAAATTCAACTACTGTAACAGGAGACTTCACTCGCTTCCACTGTTTGCTTCCTACTGTTTAGGTGGAGTTCTAGTAGTTCAACCTACTCTAACAGACAAACAGCAAATCCTCCTTGGGTGAAAACTAGCTACCATGCATTATTAACTGGCTGTGGCAAGCTAGGGAGCTCATTTAGGGGATTCTCTTTCTCTTTTCATTAAAAACAGACCCTTAAGTCATTTATCACAATATTTTTCACATTGCATTATACATCACTTTAACACTTTAAATACCATTAAGTGGCCAGTTGCTTGAGGGTTGTAGTAAACTTCTATTGTAGCATGGCATGGACCCCCCCCCAAAAAAAGAAAAAAAGGAAAAAAAAAAAACAACATTCCCCACCCTAATTTAAAGGACAATGGTCATATAAAAATCCATTTCTCGAATTTTGAAGATTCAACACTCAATCTATACACTAAAGGTATGTTTTAATCGATCCCCGCCATTTAAAAATTATAAAAACAATCTATTAGTAGTAAAAAAGCGTTTTAGTAAACCTCACCTCAATATGCATAAATGAAGCAACAGATCTGGGTCACGCGGTACTGTGATGACAGTTGGGATAAAGGTCTATGAGACTCAACTGAGCTGCATGGTGCAAACAGACAGAATAATTTTGGAAAGTTGTGTTGAACGGAGTTGAGCAATTTTCTTTATGCCTCAGTGTGTTGCCGTGGGATTCACCAAAATTGCAGCACTCCTTGACTATCTTTCTTTATCTGTGACGGTCTTCTGTGACTAACTTACTAACTTCGGTGACAATAGTTGCGATCCTCGCGATCTCGGTCACCTCAGGTGATTTAGATCATATCAAAAGCTGATAGTCTTTAAGATACTGTCATCAGTTGGCAAGCTTACTAATTGCTGATGCATTTTTAAATTCATTGTA